TATACCCGTCCGCGTAATGGGGTCAGTTACAAGGACACACCCGAGGTCAAACAGTGCATCGCTGCAGCCCGGAGAAGTGGACGACCTGAGGACTGGAAGAGAGTACATAAAGTGCGCAAGCAGGCCAAAAGACAGTGGGAGCAGGACAGACTAGCCAGGATCCTCCAGGGTGATTGGTCAGCCTACCGGTGCAGAAAGATGCAGACCTCCAGAAAAAGGGGATGGTGGGCCAAGATGGTTGAGTTGCAGGGGGAAGAGGAGATTACCGAGAAAGCCAAACTTCACCTTGCTTCAAAGCTCTGCGGCCCGGATCCACAAGCATGGGATGATGAACTTGAGCGTGTCTTGGAGGACATTGTTATCTCTGAGCCGTGGACGCCCTTTGTCATTGAGGATCTACATGCGGAGCTAGGAAGGATGAAACTTCGGGCGGCAGTCGGACCTGACCTCATAGGGGTTGATTTGCTTCGACACCTTGCTGCCCATGACACTCTGGGACATGATCTCTTGGACATTATAAACCATGTTGTGGAACATGGGGCCGTTCCGACCGCCTGGGACAAATCACTACTGGCGCTCCTAGCCAAAGTGGACGTCCCTTCTGGGCCCGCAGACTTGCGGCCCATCGCCATGTCTTCAGCCCTCCAAAAACTGGTTAGCAAGATGGTTATGGCAAGGACCTTCCCACATATTAGGCAAGCTTCGGACATTTCTTGCTGCGGCAAGAATCGACAGGCGGCTGACCTTGTGGGGAGTTTGTCTCGGTTAAGAGATGTGGCCAAGGAGTGGCGGATGCCTTTGCTCGTAGCAAAACTTGACATCAGGGGCGCCTTCGACGCTCTTAGCAGGAGAAAGTTGGCTGATTTCCTGTGTCTCAGGCTGGCAGGATGTGGGGTGAGCCGGGAAACCAAATACCTGGTACGGCAGCTTAAGTCGAACTACCTTGTGGGGAAAGTGCCGGGTGGAGGAGAGGTCACCATACACTGCAGCACTGGTATCAAACAGGGCGCACCTGAGTCAGCGGAACTCTTTGGGCTCATACTTGAATCGGCACTCTCTGAATTGCTGTCTGGCAAGAAGTGGGGTGACCTTGGCCACTCTGTACCTGACCTTCCCATGGACCTGCTCATGTACCAGGATGACATCTTCCTCTGGGATACAACGGCGGAGACATTACAGACTCGGCTCAGACTTGTCAATGCTAGGCTGTTAGACTTGGGATTGCAACTCGCCACAAGCAAGACTTGTGTTGTCAGCACACCCGAGTACCGCGGTTCACGCACGATCAAAGTCAGCGGGGAGACAATTCCAATTCAATCGGCATCCACGCCACTCAAAGTACTGGGTCTGAACTTCCTCTTCGATGGGGACCAAGGACGTCAGGCCAAGGAACTTATTGCAAGGGTGCGTGCCGCGTTTGGAGCACATCGTGAACTCCTTCGAGGACGCTCCTCTTGGGAGAACAAGGTGTTCGCAGTGCGAACCTTGCTCGAGAGCACTTTCACCTGGGTTGCAGGTGCGGTGTACTGGCATCATGATGACCTGGGGGCGATGAACACGCTACAAATTCACATTCTTCGTGATGCCTTCCGGCTCAACCGGAAAACGGGGAAACTCTGGCATGAATGGAATCAACGTACGATGAGATTCGTCCGCGCCTGGCTGCACCAGACAGGCCTTGACAGGTGGAGTACCCGAACTCGAAAACTCCAGCATGGCCTTGCTGGGCACTGGGCCAGACAGGTTGAAGATGATGGCCGTGGGATTGAACCAACACCAGGGGTGACTGCACGCTTTCTCATCTGGCGGAACCTCGAATGGTGGCGACGATAGCAAAGGATCACGCCCAAAAGTGGAGGGATACGGCATCCTCAGGCCTTCTATCCTGCCAACGTCGAGTGTGATTTAGCACAGGCGATAGGGGTGAATTGGCTTCAACTAGCTCAAGACAGGGAACAATGGTGGGGAACGAGGGATTCGTGGTTGCAACAGATGGACCTGCCCTGGACCAGAAACCGACAGAACGCGATTGCGAATGCCTAACATGCCTCTGGCTTCTTCTGGGATAACATGAGGGAAGACATGTCATGATGCTCTTGCATGACGCCTTGTGAAGCTATCATGGTGGCTGAGTTGGCAGTATACCTTGAGCGTACGCTTTCCTGTGTGGCCCAGACTCCTGTCCCTAGGCTTGTGCTCCTGCTGGACATTCCCACCCCTGTGAGCGCTTCAGTTCTATGCGCTTCAGCCAGTCAGTGCTCGAGTTTATTGACAACCTTCGACCGTGCTGACACAATGGCCTTCTTTTCCGTGATGATCTTCTTGCTTTGGGCCCCGGCCTGGGGCAGTGTGACACACTTATGGACGA